TTTTTTTCTATAATTTTCTTTTGCCATCCAAAAGAAAATAAAAGCCATAAAAGAGGCTTCATGTGTTGTCTAAAAAAGGTGGGAAACCCCAAGTACACGAATAATTGCGGACTACTGAAAAAACCGCCACAAGTTTACATAGCGTCAAGGCAGATTGTCTATCGTCATTTAGTTTATATAAAAATAGTACGAGCAGAAACACTGAGTAGTATTCCGCTGACAACAGGCTGGACAAGTGTAACATGTAGCACAAAAAAGTTCCAGCTTTTCATTGTTTTTAATTATAACCGTATCTTAACAAGTTAGAATTTATTGTGAAATGGTTTGTTCTATAAGGTTTGTTCCCTGTCCCCTAACGACACCCATTCATTTTTGAATTTTTGTCATAAAAACAAAACGAAGTTTTTTTATATTCAGGTTCCGCGGCATTAAATATCTGATTGAAGCTGTTTTAAGCCAAGCATTTAGATATCCTAGCATCATGCAGATATTAGAGATTCCAGCTGCTGTAAGTTTCTCGTATACAGGAACACTTTTAAGTGTTAAAACATCGCAGTTCTAGAGTTTCTTGATTCAAATTGCCCAAAATAAATCTAAAGAGATTGTCAACTCAGCCTAACGTATTGACATCATTTTAAGCAGGTGGACCAAACATGTCATAGTCCTGTGTTGTTGTTGGAGGCCTTTGGGTTGGTCKTACGGCTGGTTCACGTCGTACTGGGCATTTGCAGGCGTTCACTAAATATCAAACACAAATGTAAGTCTCATACTTTCGTTTGAAAAGGTGCCGACATCATTGGATTCCAGTTATAAAGAAATTCATCAATGGGGGTTGTTATGGTATATATAGTTTGGTTGAAACGGTGTTGCGAAACAGTTGCTGGAGAATATTGCTGGATGGCGTTTAGGGGTGACGATGCAATGCGTTACGAAACAGGTCTAATATCGTGTAAAGCTTCGCGCAACAAAAATTTGCGAGACACTATGCAATTYCGTAGGAACCCGTGTAAAATGTAAAGCTATAATGTAAAAAAAGCATCAATACGTAACATGTAGTAAATACCTCTCTCCTCCAGTTGTTGAATCCTGAAAAGCATAGCTGAAAACTGTTCCATGACGTCTTTCATATCTGGAGACTTGGTAACAAAAAGGGTTATTTATCATTTTGATACAATTACTGATCAGTATTCAACGATTTATAAGTGACATTATGTATTCTTCTTGTACTCGTTACGTCATAGCTGTCATGGAAACAGCAAAGCATGCACAGTGATTCCTTGTCCTCTCTTGTTCATTCAACCAATATGGCGGCGTTAGCTTAAATATTTATTTATTATTTCTCATTTTAAATCCTTGGTCGTGTTTTAATGGACACAGCTAAGATATGTGGTATAGAGCTTTCTGTCGGTTTTAGGCTGAGTTTGAATACGATTTTAAATGGGTTTCAGATGAAAAATGGTCGTCAGGATGCATTAGTAGTACCCATCTAAAATGGTTCCTTTTTTCGGAGAGTAATAGTATAGCAAATTCGGCCAGATACTGCTATCAGATACTGCTGTTCTAAAGCTCGATTCCATATCATATACATAGTGTTTACCATCTAATAGCAGTATCTGGCCGCCTCGCTATATTATTACTCTCCTATACACCCTTTTAATAAGTCCTGAGTTATTGTGTTCTCCGCACTTGACGTCAAATTTATTCTTTTGAATTCCTTTTGTATTGTAAAAATTTMAAAASAAWAARTTYGACGTCAAGTGCGGAAAACACAATACCTCGGGACTTATTAAAAGGGTGTATACTAACATGCTGCTGAAGGATAACTTCTCAAGAGTCCCTTTTTTAATCCTTTTCAGGGATAAAGTAGACTCTGTTAGCTAAAACAATATACTTACCGTAACAGCCTTTTTTTCACCTCCTGTTGGGATTTTTCCTCCTGGTGTCCCAGGAGCACCCGGTAATCCTGGAACACCGGGTGGTCCTTGAGGTCCCGGAGGCCCAGGCTCACCTATGGCAACTCCTGGTCTACCCGGCGGTCCCACAGGTCCTTGTGGGCCGATAACAGATTCTCCTATGAAAGAAATGTGGAAATAAAGCCTTTAAAGATATGAAACTCCTTTCTGTAATCTACAATTGTAGTGTACCTGGTTTCCCAGGTGGTCCTGGGGGGCCATTTTGTCCTCGTGGACCCTGTGCTCCTGGTATTCCTCTTGGACCAGGGACTCCCCGTGGACCTTGAGGCCCGGTTTGACCTCGACTTGGCTCTGTAACATCAACGCCTCGTCCACCAGACAATTTCTAGAAAATGTAAATCGAACGTATCACAGACACTGACTTAGMCTTTCCCAAAGCTCCTTTTAGCTACTGGCACAAGGGTTAGGGTAACGGAATCCAGAGTCCGCCTTGTAACAATTCAACGGGAATCGAAACCCTGAACTCTGCGATGCAAGTGCAGTGCTCTTCCAAGAGCTATGAAGTGCTTGGGTTTTGACAAATCAAGATTCCTACCTTTTCAACAGTTTCTAATCTCTTTGTCCATCTCTGTATCATCGAACAGTTAAAGCATGCTAAAGAAGGTAAACACAATTACAGATGGCCGATACAGAGTATGCAAATCATGATTGACGCAGTTTCATGAATAGTAAGCAAGATGTCTCGAAACTGTAGCGAAATGCAGATTTCATTGATTTCGGTAATACATCTTTTGGCAGAGTTCAAGGATAGAGCATGGACATGCAAAACAACAACACCATAACAGATCGAGATGTAAGAGACTAGATTGCCTCTAAGCATAACAACTCAAGCGCTTTTCCTACCTAACCCTTACATTTTTCACATTTTGGGCCAGTAAATCCTGGACAACACTCTCTAACAGTGGTGTAAACAGTTTTCATCTGTATCTTGTATTCAGGAACGAAAACAGCTCTAATGAACAACAACTGGTTGAGAATTTTGCGTATATACCTATTTAAAAAAAGTTGTCGGACAAAATGGCGAATGTCAATTGTCGAATGGCGATTGCACGACCGAAAGCAACCGTGGGTTTTGCTAACTGATGAGAAATAACTGATTTATATTGTAAGATTGCCTCCATTTAGACCCCATTTCTATGCAGGATGAATCACACACCTTGATTCATCAAGGTAACCATAGTCCCTTTCGGTCGTGTAATCTCCCTTTGACAATCACGGTTCGCCGTTTCCCTCGACAACGTTTTTTGAAATAGGTGTATATGGAATGAATRTTTCCAGCCAATAAGAAACATTTCATTTCAATATCCTATGTATATATATCAATGATATTGTATAAAAATATTTCTTTACCTGTATCCTGAACATATCTTTTTATACAGCGAGCCACAATAATAATGGAATTTCTGTTGTACTTTCTTGCGTACAGCTACGGGGCATGGCACTTGGCGTGAAGTCTCAAACAAACAGTATCGACCAGATGAATCGCTAACTCGACCTGATTTTGTTTGCACGTTTTCTGCTGAGCTCGTCTGCTGTTGAAATTGTTCGAGCTTTGGCTGGGAAGGTTGTTGTCGAAATAAGGCATCTGATTTGCTCCTGTACAGCGGTAATTGCCCATAAGCGTTACTATAACGATAAAGATATAGATTTGAACGACAAATTGGTGGACGAATAACTGGTGGAATAAATGGATGGATGGGAGCACGGCTAACTGTCGAGAAATATTTTGAGCGTTTTCAAAAGGGATGTACTTCATATTTCTTTTTCATTGTTTTATTTGGTTAGTGTTTCCATCTTTAAGTCATTTCCGTTTCAGTGTGAACCAATTACATTTTGGTATCTCTCCAAATCTGTGGGTTTTMGTAATCAGCCTAAAGAAGAGTCAGGGCGTTACGACGAGGAATTTCGCATGTCCAGTTGTGTGACCTTCCGGGGGTGTGAACACATCATTAAAAAATTTCAAATACGGAGTGTATTGGAAACGGAAGTTCTTATTTTCTTAGATATAACATACCGAAACACCCAAACTTCCTTTTTATTTTTTTTAGGCACAAAATAGTCCTCAGCTCTATCACACAAAGTGTAGACTATCCGATCCTGAAATGACAATTGGAAACTACTGACCGAGGTCGACCATTATTGAAAATTAGGACAATAAAATCCACAACATCAGTAACATGTAATTCCAGTGGACCGTGCGCGTTCATCTACTCCCGCAAGTTCGCGGGAAAAATTCGTGAGGGCAGATAATTCGGCCTTGAAGTTAACATACGTGCGCTTCAATAAAAGCACTTCAGGTGACGAAAGGTCGTCAAAATCTCCGTAGTTGGTTTTCAAAATAAAACAACTTCAATGTGCCGACTTGCATTTTATTATTTGATCCGTGTAAATAAACTTCTCACAGGGATACAACATAATATTTTTCTTAAGGTGAAAACAGCATTTTTGTGTAACGTAAAAAAGTATTTTACTCTCTCGAATCTAGGGGAGAATTAGTAAGAATTATAGACTTCTGAAACTGAATTGTATTTCTGTCATTTCTAGTTAGTAACTTGTCAAATGTTCATGCGTAAACTGTACGGCTGTTTTCATAGGTCGCCAGTGAGGTCGAATAGAAGTATTTGTTTTGAAAATCACGGCAACTGTTGAAACGTTGTTTGAAACTGAAGAAATCCCAGCTYGGAAAAGATTCAAAATTAAAATGAGGARTTTTAAAACAATTGATAGGGTTTAACTTCATTTGGTATGACGTACGCACACAGTARAGAAAWACCATAAAAAAAGCACAAAGAATCCTTTGTAAAATCCCTGGCCAAAATAGAAACGTCCAGCATTGATACTATCTATGAGATCTGAATCATTAAATAAATTCACCGCGTCGAATCGATGAAAATTTCAAGTTGATTCATAATACGATAATGAGCAATAAAGGTGTTTTATAGAGTGTCAAAATCATACCTTGGAATATTTTTTGGTGTCTTGCTATAAAGGTCCAAGGACTGCTGATTATGTACTGCCTCAATGCAATACCATGCAAGAAATACGACAGCTAATCTAACTATTTGTTCCATATAAAATCGAAATATACTAGCCATTTTCTTCTGATAATACAAGTCTCTGATTGTAGCTCAAATCTATAGCGTCCTACTTAGTTGATGTCATACGTTTCCACGCCAATAACTTGCGTGTTTTGTGTCGAACAGTTATGTGACAARTAGAGGAGTTAAATGATACTGCTTGTTGACCGCAATGTACGCAAGCATCACCGCTTAACAGTCTACCCACTGTGAGAGAATGTGAGACGCTAGCCGCGATTACTGGAATTAGTTAAATTCTACTTTTATTAACGTGGATATAATCAACGGCGCCTCGTTTAATTCAAGAATAGAGCAAAATACATTTTGGTATAAATAAATTTTTATATTAATTCCCCCCTCCCCCTCCCTCCCCATGGCATATTTTATGACTTGGTCAGTGGTGAGCATGTGTGAGTAGTTTACGCCAAAGATTGCTTTAGGGAATGATATGAGTCTGTAAAATGACCAAAGGTGTCTGTGGAAGATAAACAGTTAATCACCAATGATGTACTGATATTGACCGCCAGCCRCAGATGTTCACTCGTTAAAAGCGTTGGTCGGTTCTTTTGTGCTTCACGCTGAAAAGATTGCACCAGACGAGCTTCGTATATAGTGAAGTGTGCAAATGAAGTCTTCCTCTCTCCTATTTATATTTACTGTAAGCAAACGTTTTACCAGATAACCTGGTCTTCYCTAACACCATGCCCAAACCAAAAATAATGGCTGGCTTTTTGCCCGTCAATTAATCCCAACAAACAGTCAATGGTTTATGGCCTGTTAGGCCCACTCCTCGGAAAATTGTGAGCTTAGAGCAGAGCCCTTCGGTCTGATTACAGGACACGGAAATCCAGGGGCTGTCCCCGAATCAACTATATAGACACCTTTTTTTACGGTGTCTTTCAAGGGGCGTAGCCGGCCGATACGCAAATACCTATAATCGGGGACAAAACTCTTGTCGTGAACGAGTTGAAGATTGCATATTTAGAGTATAATCTTCTCCTATGTCTTTTACCTCCCCTCCCACATTACAATGAGGACTACCACCATTGTATCGAGGAAGAGGGGAAGCAAATGGCTTTAATTAAAGATGTACGATCTCAAGTGAACCGACACTCTACATCTTTAATTTAGCACAGGCGGTAACACATTGCGTCCGCCATTGTACGTGTTCTTGTGATGCTAAATTTCAAATATTCTGTTATTAGTTGCCGTAAAACGAAAAGAAAGAAAACGCTACGTGCATGGTTTAGTGACCAAGCTACACTCAGGATCACTTAATCGTGCCCCTCCTCCCCTACACTGGCTAGAGTGTTTCGATGGTGCAGGTGCTGCATAGTTTTCATTCCACTCTTTCCGCACTTCATGGCACTGACAACAAGTCGTCTGCATTGTAACTTTTCAGAGTATTGCGGCACATCTCAAGCTTTATCACAGCCGGCCGACTAATACTGATTGTGGTTCATTTTGGCTCTTAACTAATCACACGGCCGAGTCCGAGTCGACGACTAGCTGACAAACAAAGTCAATTACTAATACTAGCCTCTCCAGCAAGGCATTTGGAGCATTGAAAAATACCTTGCTTGTTAACCTATCTTCAAACATCTCAGCACTTCGAAACTCATTTATTGTGACGGTACTTGAAGATGGAGGCTATATCCATTATATTTTGGTATTAATTATACTCAGTGTCATTTTCTAAACTTATTGCTCGTGCTAAGTCGATGCCAAGTAAGATAACTATTCTAATCGCAAAAAAAAAGGAAAAAAAAAAAAAAGAAATTGTTGATGCATCGCTTCGATAGCGAGAGAGCTTAGCTACCCTGGTTCCAGAAGTTTTCTCTTCTTAGTTGTTTTTTATTTCGTATTTTTGCTTGCTTTTTAATTTAAGCTCAAAAGCAAAGACAAAAATACGATAAATACTAAAAAAGGTCTATAACTGAGAAAACCTTTTGGACCAGGGTAGGGCTTAGCCTTCTGTGCATGCAATCCCATTAACTTGGGCCTATGCGCCGCGAGAGAAAAAACCGGCTGCAAGTACAATTTTTTGTTTTTCAACGCCTATATTACGCTTGAAAAAAGTTAAAAGTTATAAGAATTCCAGTCAGTGCTACGACAAGTGCTCGTACTGCATTTATCGTAATCTGCACTTGGCACCAGGCCTACTTGCTAACAAATGAACTAAGAGAATGTCATCTCCTAATTTCAAAACATTCATTTGTGAAATAAAGGTTACATTTGTKCAGTGATTTTACGATGGGATAGCACATGAAGCCTCTTGCATGCAGTTACGYATCAAAACTGTGTAAACAGAAGGCATTAAGGGGGCACTTACTGAAGAATTGAATCATGCTCTTTTTTTATTCGCTAAGCTGTTCGACTTCSTCCTACTGATTTGGCAAATAAAGTTCCTTGTGTCAAAGACTTTGTCTGGAAAGGAAGCGGGGTTCAAGAGCGCTGGAAGCTTGCCCTTTAGAACCCAATAAAAGAGCTATATAATAACTACTTAAAACAGTAGTGTAAATCTTTTTAATACTTCAACATACATGCTGCTGTGATATATGCTACATATTTTTTAACATATCAGTATAATATCATTTTTATAACCAATGGATATGAGTCATATCACTCTCTGATTGGGTACTCTACAATGAAGATATCAATTCATATTCTTCAAGTAGAAACAAACTATGACTAATTTTGATTCTTGCTTGTAAGCAGAAAAAAAAAATGCTCAAAATTCATTGGCTGTGAACATAATAATTATTATTATGCTATATTTATCATTATACTTGATATTGTTATTGTTTGATATTACTGATAGTCGACTTGAAAATCATKAATGGCGAATATACAACTTGCTTTCTTAGTGCTAATTATTGTAATGATAAGTGGTCTAGGTGAACTAACTGATATGATTATCTTAAAGTATTTTAACAGTATTTTAGCAGTAATATTGAGACAGTGAATATTTGGTGGCTTTCTAACCATCCATAATTCAGTGTTTTGTGATGCTTCACAGATAAGCTGTTTGCACTCTAGAAACTGATCAAAATCTACTGAGTAAGTGTTTGTCAATGAAACAATGATGTTTAATAATATTATGTCATACTATTCAAATATTGACAAAAATGTCAAATTTAGTTGCAGATATTTGTGCCAGTTCTTGTATTGCAACCACATGACAAAATAAATCCCTGAGAAAAAGAATAAAGCTTGTTTGTTGAATGAACAAAAGAAAACAAGAATTCTATATTTTCATCCAACAAAGTACTATGATTTAGCATGCAACCCAAGAATGCTATAGACACTGATTGAGTTAAACAATTAATATTTTACTATGGTAGCTTTTGCTATCAAAATTTGTCTCTTTATGGTAAATAATTATTAAGTTATGATGAGTTCAATACTGCATTATTATTGAGAAATCATTCTAATCTATGTATCTACCAAACTGTCATGCTTTTGTTTCATTATAACATCACTGAATCTCTGTTTAGCTGTAGAACAAGCTCTCGACTAACAAAACCGATTAACCTGAAAGTCAYTTTTTTCTGCTATAAATTCAAAATGTAAAATGAAACATTTATATTAATAAACCCAACTTAAAACAATYACTCGATACATATTATTCGAGCAAGGATGTGCAAGACAGATCTTGCTTGGGCAAAATAGCCTTCAAATGCTGTATCTCTTGAATCATTTGCTCCACCTGAACATTAAGCTTATAATTCTCATTCTCCAGGCTTTCGAGGAGGTTAAAAAGAGCTTTATGTCTTCCTTTTCTCAACTGGCGAAACTTCTTGGAAGCTTGGTTATTCCTGACTCTTTTGTCTAAGATCTTTTCACAGTTATTCTTCTTTGGTTTACTCCCACTTTCTTTATCCCTTTCAGAACTTACTGAGTCATCAGAAAACTCCTTATCCTCTCCACTTGTAGAGCTTGACCAAGGAGAAGGTGGTAGACTRTCTTGAGYGCCTTCAAACAAAGCTTGATGTGTTCCTTGGTCAGGGTGAAGGTCACTAAAGGTGTCTTCATCTGTGACAGGTGTGAGGTTTTCAAGTTCAGCAACTTGGTCAAAGAAGTCTCCATAAGTCTTCTGTTTCCAAGGATAAACTTCCCATTTTTCTTCTTCTCTTTCTTCTTTGACTTGAGGTGTTTGAAGGTCGTGAAGTTTCTGTAGGGGACTGGGAGAGGCAAGGCCAAGAACCCCTAAAGAAACAATATAGATGAATAAAAGAATCACTCAAAATGTATAACATACATAGGTTTTAGAGTAAATTTTACCTAAATTCAAAAACAGAATACTTGTGTGTTAAAAAGAAAGAAGTAATGCTAAAAAACGCTTGTTCGTGTCAAATTCTTCGCCATTCAAGCAAAGGAGAATAATTGATGACGACGCATGAAAAAAACACCAATATTAACCGAAAGTTCTTAAAAACTAAACACATACCAAGCCTTCAAAGYTCAAAAATAGTACAAAATATGATTTACCATTGTCAAAGACAGCGCTTGGATTCGTAGAGGCAAGAACCACTGTGCAAGAGATCATTGCCGYCGACCATGGCCACTTGACGTGGTCGAACAGCCATGTTGGACCTCTTYGAATGATCCACAAATAACCATTTAGAAGTCTTCATTTTCTTGTTTTTCGCTTTTGGACGCGATAAGGTAGTYTTATAGTACATCTCTATCGTATCTTGAACGAAAAAGACAACGAAAAAGTGATGAAAATCGTCAAGATTCTTCTTCTCTCTTGTCTCGAAGCGATTCTGATTTCGACTAGATGACGTCAGAGGGTTTTGACGTCAATAGAGACTGGGGAGAGCATAAACGAGGAACGCCTTGTGAGATTTGACTAGTTCATTTTGCCGCATTTGTATTTACGACGATCTGTAGGCGTTTATTTAACGAAAGCGTCGAGGAAAAATGAGTAAAAATGATGTTTTTAAGAGCAAGGAATTCAGAGATAAAGAGTCGAAATTAAGGGAGAATTTGCGACTATCGAATGCTCAAGAACTTATTGGAGATTTTGTACGGTAAGTTAAGCTCTAAGCTTATGACTTGTGGGCATGTGAATTCAATTGATACTTTTTTGATCTTCCCTTTGTGCTTACTATTCTACGGTCATCAATAATGCATCACATTTACTTCAAATGTTTAAGGCTTTTAGAAGAAAAACTCTTCTGTGATGTGACATTTACTGTCGAAGATGTTGAATTTTCGGCCCATGTGTCGATTTTACAAGCTAGAGCTCCCAAATTCAGCAAGCATTTTCTACCCAACTTATCATCTCCATCGGTACAGTCTTGTATAAATATACACAATTTACAGTCAGACAARTTTTCAGGCTTCTTAAGGTAATTGTGACCATATATTATTGTTTTTTCATTGTACCTATTTGATAAAATTCTATAATATATACTCAATACTTAAGCTTAACTTTATTTTCATATGAGCAGATCTGTTTATGCTGAAAATGTTGTACAAGATTATTCTGAGGTCGATTATCCTTGGACTGAAAGTCCACTAGTTAAAAACATGAAGAATGAATTTGAGGATAGTTTGGATGATTGTGAAGATCATGTACAGAATAAACAAAGTGAAAATGATGAAGTTAGCAATGCAAATGACAATAACTTGGTGAGTATAAAAATCAAACTGCAGTTGAGATACATTGTGATCAGCCTATACAACAAATGTTAATTTAAAGTAAATGTCATTGAGGAAATAGAATCTATTAGTAATTACGTACATGTAAAGTTTTGTTAGTGGGCACCCAGTATCATGCTATCTGAAAATGTGTTACCTTATTGATTTAGCAAATATATAAGTAATCAAGGACTTCATCTTCCATTGAAGGGGGGGGGGGGAGTGGGGGAGGGGGGTTTTCAGAGCCCATGGAACTTCAAACCTGAGAACACTGCTGGAGCTTGAAAAAATACTTTGAAATGAACTTTTGATAATAATTATTTTCTGATTGTGTCCATTCAGCAAACACAGACAAAGTGTTCCTCTATTGATGCTTGCTGCAAAATTGGACAAGATTTGATCAACTTAGTAAATGATTCTAAATCAAGTGATATTACATTTACTTTGAATGATAATCAAAAAGTCAAAGCTCACAGGTATGAAAATGTTCTGACACAAAATGGCAATACTTACAACAACAACAACATCAACATCCACAATTTCAACAACGGTAGTTACCCTAACAACACAGGACTATTAACAATAGCAACAACAATGACAAATGCGACAAGAATATCTGCAGCAAGTGTGATGGCAATTATCAGAAAAATATTGTAATAATCTGACTCTCTACATGATTATGATAATCATTCTACTTTTTCTTTTCAGGGCAATACTCTGTGCTAGGTCAAATTATTTTTCTGCAATGCTGTTTGGTGACTGGTCTGAGAAGGAAGCCACTGAAATTCCTCTCTTAGGGTAATAATGGGTTTTTATTTTAATGTCATTGCTTATTCCTTGAATAAACATCAAATGTTCATATGAAAGGGGTTGCTTGACAATAATTTGAGTTATTTGTCAACCAAGATTTATAAAAACTTCCCTTTTGCAAATTTTCAAGGAATTAAACAAATAAATTTTAACACCGTATAATTATAGTAGGTGACATTTTAGACGTTAATCCCTTCGTTGAAGGACTAATGAAGGATTAACATCTGAAAGATCAGCAAGTTTTTTTTTACCTACTTTGTTGCAGTGTTAAAAGTTATGCACAACTTTTTTCACAACTGTTTCTTTAGAAACACAGAACGATGCAGCTCATAATAGTTTACCACTAGTTTTGACCATAAATATACAAGCTGTGTCAAGAGTGGGCGATGTAAATATCTTTTAAGAATCTTAGAGCCACAAGGTCTTTGGACCACAAATAAAACAATATTGAACCACACTGTCAAAGGTACTTTGAAAATAAGAGAAAGATCTGTGTTGTGCTTTGTTCATGGTCACTATGAAATATTGCATTAAAAAAAAAAATTAAATTTTGCTATAAATTGTAGACTTGATGACATATTTTCTTATTATTATATMCAATACTTCAGGATAAGCCATCAAGCCTTTCTGGTTGTATTATATTTTCTGTATGGTGGAATTACAAACATCCCCTTGGATAATGCTAATGATATCTGGTAACTGTGAAAGAATATATTTATTTTGTTCAGTATTGTATGAATAATAATTTTTTGAAAGTGTATAACAATAGGGTTGCTATTTTATTGTTTGGCTGAAATAATATTCTTTCATCAAATGAATTCATCTATACATTCATTCCTTATCTGACTATTATTAGTAACCATTGTTTTCCTTGATTAGTGATGTCCTCTACTTGGCTGACATGTATGGTTTAGAAGGACTAAAAGAAGTTGTGATATGTGARCTAAAGCTCATGAAATGTCATTTGTTCCATAAGGTATAATTATACTTGCAATATAATGCACATTTTATATTTGCATTTAATAGCATTTTAAACAAAAATTTGAGAGCTTGTGGTACTGTTAGGTATGGAGTCATAAGGAAGTGAAAATTTTAAGATACTAAAAGAAGACTTTTGATGAACATTACGGCCAAGGAAACGATGACTAATTAAAATTACTAACCATTCTATATATTTTCTTTCCTTTTCATTATATACAGTGTAGGTCAATTTTTCCTTTTTGTCAAAAATGACATTTGTTTTCAATTCTTGAAAGCTGTTCTGTTTTTTAATCGTAGCCATGTCCAGAATGCCTTGCAGGAGTGCTAGAGTGTCTTGAGTTGTCTGAAGTGTTTCACTTAGAAGAACTGCAGAAACAATGCTTAAAGTAAGTATTGACCCATTCATGTACCCTTACCCTTTCCAGTGGATGGGCAACCTTCCCTTGGTTCCCTTCCCTTCAGTGGATGGGCAAGAAGGGTCTCAGTACTAGATTGTTGTTGATTACTGGCATTTTAGTTGCTTTGACAGCGGAGTTGTGACAGCGACGTAATATTATAGTGTGTCAAAGGGTCCCTGTTGTCCCCTTTCAAAGCAAAATCATTTATTAAAGAAATCACAAAAATATTTCAAATCAGATCGTTGATGCAGAGTTTGCAGTCATCCATATTTTTTTGTTGCTTTTTCCATTGCTAAATGATTAGGGAAATAAATAACTATCTCGGCTTATGTATCAGTCAGTTGAAACCACGGCCACCAGACCTCCGGTGGAATTAACATTTCAAGAACCAAGTCCCTGCATTTCYCGACCCTGAGAGATCAAAAAGTCGGCTGAACTGATAATTTTCATTAATTTAGAATTTAAATCCCCCACCTTTCGTTAATTGTACTGCTAAAACAGTGTTAAATCCCCGGCTATAAAATTGACTAATGCATTATCATACTGTGAATCTTTTTGAGCAAGGAATCCACGATGCATGTCTGTAACATGTTGTTATGAAGTATATCCTGAGTACTATATACATGTAACTAAAATATATATTTGCCTCTCGTTAGGTGGACTGTACGATACTTTGATCGTGTTTACAATACAAAGTCGTTTGGCTATTTGAGTCCAAAGTTGCAAGAAATCATTCAGTCCGCTCTTCAGTCTTCGATAGTAAGTGGTTCAATTGTTTAAAATCGACAATGTTYATTTGCTTACGAATTTGCGATTAAATCAGTAATTGTAGGTAATGTAACGAAGTATTCATTTTCTTTTATTTCCAATTGCGTTTGCATTTTCAATATTTTATTCATACAAAAGGGCGCCAAAAGTCGAAAAGTAGACACAACGAAAAGATGTCATATACGGAACGATAATCTGGAGACCTTTTTTATATAACACAAAATTCAGCCACACAAAGGCCTCAGTAGTATACCAATAAGCTCCWATAAAAGGWTTAAGGATAGAACATGTTTCATCTGTTTTATTTTCTTGTTTCCCAGAACAGATTAAATGTTATCGACCTCTTGTGTCGCGGAGATAAAGTGGCCTCCAGTCTCCCTCCTATCAATTGGTCCAAGCCAGTCCTGGATCTGGTATATACGCACATCAATTCTTGTCTTTCCTTTATTGCTGAAAACTTTCATGTTGTGGTGTCGGATCAATCATTTCGTAATATGTTGAAAGTAAGTATATGACAGCAGATCATTGTGGGCATGCCGGCACCGGGAGACACCTAGCCCGGTTATGTAGGGCTAACTTCACCGTTTTTTAAGAGCTAACGATTAGCGCTTATCAAACTTTGGAGCAGCCGGCCTTGCTCCACCTTAAACCAATTGGCAGGTCTATMTCGGCATGACTAAACTAAGCAATGAACTGACACTGTCACGATAAGGAGGTTGAGGAGTTTGTTTGCACGCTATGTCGGCATGCATGCATTTGAGCTCGTCAAGCTTGGCTTGCGTTAATCTCCATGTTTTTTAATTGTGCTCATTGTGACTCATATTTTAGGGCGTTGGGTGGAGTACGCCTCTGTTAGAAAAGATCTTCACGGCTCTTTGGAATTCATTAAACGTTCAGAACTGTTGTGAAAGGTTTAAAGTTACCATGAGACTACGAAATGAGATGGCAAGAAGTGATTGTGAAGGAGACACATCTGAGGTGAGCCAGTCTTGGTCTGGTATGACYTCTGTCGTGTTTGCAAAGTAACAACTAAAATGGTCATTATTATTACTCCAAGCAGATGATTATATTACTCTAGAGTGTCAGCCTATAAATGATATGTCGACAAGCTACTTCAGCCTTTACAGATTAGGTCTTGATGTTGTATTAAAGAAAGTGATTTTTTTCATTTTGTTCATGACATCATCATTGTTGTCCTATATGCACATAATGGCGTAACTAAATGTCTAAGACTAGAGCAGGCTACAACTCGAAGTAAACTTTATGTTCTTATTTATCACAAATAGGTTTAACTGAATGCTACTTTAGGTAAATACATTATTTTGACACACAGGAAGTGGACAATCTAATCGAGAAGCTTCATACAAGATGTCAAAACTTCATCGTTTCTAATTTGCACCGAGTGTCTCATACTGACGGCTGGAAGCACCTGAGCCCAAGGACACAAACTGAAATAAGAAAATCTGAAGGTAGTTGTCCGTCCTTGCACARAGAGATACATATTCAATACCTTTCTCTCCAGGGGTATATAAACTCAACCAAATCGGCTGAAACTTATCCAGGGGGATTGTTGTATACATCAATAACAGGATCTGATAGTTTTGTGTGATTTCGTTGGAATCCAAGTAAGAAATTCACGATTCAATAACATCATACAAAATCGTAAAATAACGGTAAAATATAGAGGGGAGCCGAGGGGTGGTTACATAAGAACCACTGATAAAGAGCCTGTGCTCCCTGTGCTTTTACTTTGCGTTACGCACAGTGACATCCATACTATAGCTGCTATAGCTTCTAATTGTTCTATTGCCGTTATAGGTGGAATGTTTGTTGATGTTGGATTACCAAGCCAGAGAAATAGAACCTTCCCCGCGTCATCCAAGAGTCTTTCAAATTCACTACGCCCAAGTTCAACAAAACGTCCACTCAGCCAAGCAGGACCACCTAGTAGAAACCAAAAGACGCGAGCCAAAAGTGCTGGTATACCTACCAGCGCTCAAGAACCCAAGTCGTGGAAACCTGCAGTAGTTAACCATAAACGGCCGGGGTCCGCAGCGTCTTCATCTACCTCACTAAGGCAAACCAGGTCCGCTGCATCTACGTCATTTAGTAAACCACCAACTGGCTCACGTAACAGTGTACCCCGAACAGGATTGAGAGAAACTTCAACTGTAAACAAAAAGACAACGAAAGGGGGTGAAAGTAGCAAGAGCGGGATTGCTTGTGCTGCCTCTTCAAAAACTGGGGAAAGTTGCTCAAAATCAATGTTGGTTGACAACAATGTTGATAATGCGATACATAGTGGGATGAATACAAAAAGAAAATCCATGCCTGTTGGAGCTAGCAATATGTCCAGTACATTTAACACGACAAGAAAGTCTATGTCTGCCGGAGCTAGCAATTTGTCCACAAGAGTTAACACAACAAGAAAATCTTTGCCTGCTGGAGTTAGTAATTTATCGAGTTCATTAAACACAACAAAAGCATCTATGTCTTCACGAGCTCGCACCTCGTCTTCTAAAGAAAATACAACGAGAAGGTCTTTGCCTGCTGGAGTTAGTAATTTATCGAGTTCATTGAACACAACAAGAGTAACTATGTCTTCACGAGCTAGCACCTTGTCTACTAGTAGAGTAAGTACACCAAGGAAAACTATGCCTGCTGGAGCTGGCAATGCATCCAGTTCAGTGAATACAACAAAAAGAACCGTGTCTGCTGGAAATAGAAATACATCCAGTAAAACAAACACAGCAACAAAATCTGCAGCGAAGAATGTGTCCGTTGCAAATAGAACCATTAATAATCATGATAGACAACCTGCGGCTGCAAATGTTAATTCTTGTTGGAATCAAAGCAATAAAAAAAGACMYTTAATTGATACGAAGAGATCGCAATTGTCAAATGTATCAAAGTCTTCAAGGKTTGGTAGAGATGTACATGGCTCTTCAAAGGTCCATCAATTGAAGCCAGGGGAAAAGGAAAGGAGAATAACAAACGTCCCCAAAGCAAAGGTTKCAAGTTGTCAAAATGAAACCAAAAAGAGGAACGAGATGGAGACAAAATCTGAAGTGGTGTCTTTGCAAGTCACTAAAACAGACCAAGTACCATCAGCGGAGGCAACGCTTGGGCATAACGGAGCAAACGTGACATCATCTATTAACAGTTCATTAGCAGGCGAAGGTAAAATGTCTGATAAAGTTGACAGTGAAGGCTTAAAGTCCGAGGAAAATTCTCCTGAAGTTGCTGATAACCTTTCTGATACTCTTTCAAATATGGCTCTATCGAAGTCGGACGTCAACAGTCCCATAAAACCTCCCGGTGGTATTCGACCAGTCGTTTACAAAGATGAAGGCAACCTAGAAACAGGAGTTGCTGATAACCTTTCTGATACTCTTTCAAATATGGCTCTATCGAAGTCGGACGTCAACAGTCCCATAAAACCTCCCGGTGGTATTCGACCAGTCGTTTACAAAGATGAAGGCAACCTAGAAACAGGAGTTGCTGATAACCTTTCTGATACTGTTCCAAATATGGCTCTATCGAAGTCGAGCGTTAACAGTCCCTTAGAACCTTCAGTTGGTCAGCAAGTCGATTACAAGGATGATGGCACCTTAGACACAGAAATGGCTGAGTTATCGGCTGCTGAATGGAAAGAACATGACACTTCGTCGTCGTCCAATACTGCTGTCGAAATTGCTAACACTACCTGGACGATAGAATCGGGAGATTGCACGGATTTAGGTAACAACATTCAAAAAGAAACCACGGAAAATTGCATAAGCCAAGAATATGTCAATACTTCGCTAAATACTGCTGATGACGATGCAAACATTACTTGGACCGCAAAAGCCAATCCATCAGTGGATTGTAATCATACAGGTAAAGATGTAATTGAGAAAAACGCAGGCGCGGTACAAAACATTTCATCAACTATGGCTGCTCCCTCTAAACTTGGCGATTTGAATCGGACCAATGGTGGTGGTGGTGATGATGGTACAACGGTGGCACATCTTGAAAGTGAAGCTCCAACAGTAGAGCTATCTACGCGTTCTAATGACGCACGGCAGGACAATAGTCAAGACTCTGTGTCAGGGAATCATTTGAGTACAAGTGAATCCAGGAATGACAAAAACGAAGCAACGAAATCCTTTTGTGCTCTGGAGCATGAACAGGAAGACACTGTGTCCAACTAAAAGCTAACGATTTCCGGAAGACCATCACTTAGCCTGGATCAGATGAGCTAGTCTTGGAAATCAGGAACAGGTCAATCACTTTTGCCTGATGGCGAATCTTAAGGCACGATAATTACTAAGGAATCAGTAAAAACCCGATAAAATACTGAAGGTTACTGCAGAAAGTGATTAATTCGAAGAACGTTTTGACCACAATGAACAATGACATCAAAGAAGATCAARCCATCGTCAGAATAAATTTTATAAATAAGTTCATTTATGCGTTACGTGTTCATTGTCAGGTATCAAAAATATTATTACCGAAAAACATTATACTTATTTCGTAAATTAAAAGTCACATTTTGAAGTTGAACCAAGTTTGAACATTCTTCTCGGTAAAATTTCAGGTCGTTTGTATGTGTGTGTGTTTATTGATCCTATTTCCGAAGGGAATGGYAACCATTGCATAGGGACGGGGTTGCTGTTTGCATGCTAAGAAATGGTAATTGGTTTACCTGGTCCTTTTGCTCCAAAACGTCTGCGAACCTGTTCAGTTGCAGTGCGGGGATTCACGTTTCTAGACGATTTTATAGGGCAAAGAAATAGCTGTTAAAAATTGAAAAAATMAAAAAATAAAGATAAARTAAAAAGTAAAATAAAACAAAAAATGAATTTCATCTCTACTTCGCCACCCTACGTTCGGTCTTGACGCACAAAATTAGCTTGTTTCTTGTTAATTTTGTGGGTCAAGACCAAACGTAGGGTGGTGAAGTAGAGATGAAATTAATATCAAAGTCTTGCAAGGCCAAAATACTCAATATATCAAACACAAAATACATAAAAAAATGATAATGACATAATGACACAAAATGATAATGATTAAATTCAAAAAATAAATAATCATTATCGTGATCTTATTTATCTGTCTTTTAGCGTCAAAAACCTGAAATAATATTATTCTAAATAGTTTGAAATAACATTCACCATGTAAAAGGCAAAAAGATGGAAAGGAAAACAATTTTAATAAAAAAACTGTAAAGTCCACGTGAAAAAAGCGCGCGCTTGCGCCTGCAATTTTTCTGTACGTTAGGTATYTCTTCATTAAAATTATGCGCGCGCTTCGTGTTGTCCCGTTGCATCCCGGGTAAGCTTACTACATGAGCATTTTTTGTCCGCCATGATGGATCCTAGAAATCGGGATCCCAAAAAGAAAAAATGCATTATTTCGTCTTAGATGGCGATTTAACCAAATAATAACCACAAAATGTGTTAGAACGATATTCAAATTTGTTACTTCGGACAATATTTTCCCCCTGCACCTTTTGTGCAGCGTTGTAAATTTCAAGTTTGAGTGCCGCACTCAGTAAGAGGAATCAACAAGATGAGTAAGTTATCCTTCCGAGCTCGACAGCTCGACTCAAATAAGCCTCTTCCAGTCTATCAAGCCGATGAACTGCCAGATCTGTCGGAATTCAGCACGATTAATCGAGCAGTTCCTCAAATGCCGACTGGAATGGAGAAAGAAGAGGAATCGGTGAGTGATTAACAAATATTATGCTCATTTCGTATGTCAGGTTTGTACACAAAGCGCGTGTGCGGAGATAACTTGGAAACTGCATAATTGACTTGAGAAATGCATACGCACTCTCTTTAAATGCTATGCATTTAGTATGCTTTTTTACACATACAGCAGTTTTCCAGCTCTTTGCAGTAGACCTCATTCACGTGATCGCGATGTATAAACCCGCCATTTTTGAATGTATTTTATATTAAATTCGTTCTAAATTTCTCCACGTTTTCAAAAGTTGTTMTGMAACTTTAACGCCCTGTATAATTCTATGTACGATCGTTAAATTTGCTAGTGTTTGACAAGTTGTAGTTTGTTAATACTAGTAATTATGCCACTATGCCACAATAGCAATTGTGATAAAATTCAACTTGTTTTTTAGATTGTGTATTAATTTTTGTATTGATTTACATTTATTCTCTTGGATTGTTTTTGTTGAGTGCATTTTTTTAATATTGAATTTGGAAAAATTTGCCTTTTTTCACACAAGTTTGCTTATCGATTTAATATTAGAGAGTTTTTAGATTCGTGTTTACGGTGAACGCCAAACTTCAAACCTTATCATGTGATCACTGTTTCTCTGTATTAACACTCYGTTCTTTTGCGATTGTGTATACAATAGATCATTTTTTGTGTATAAGCGCATCACTATTCCTTTCGAAGCGATTTCACGTTTGTTTGAAGTTTTGAGACAAAGCATAAAAGCCAATTTGACGCTTGCCGTTTGCAGTGAATCTAAAACTCTCTATTGATTGATCAAATAGGTGATTTACTCTGAGCATGTAGCAATACTTCATGTGACAAGCTATTTCATGAGTCAACAATAAAATGACTTTTGATATAAACATTGGAGATTATAAAAGCTTGTTGAGGACATGGTTAAAAGTCAGATTTATATTCCAATTCATGTGCTTGTTACAAAGTGTCCCTACCCATCTATGTTCCAAGCAATGAAAGGAAGCTGTTTGTCCTTTATTAATTCATTATATTGGATGTATTATTAATAGTCCATTAATTGATATTAACAATTTTTGATTTCTTTACCAAGGAACATCATTTACAACGAGCAATCTCAGCACAGCAGGTTTATGGTGACACTCAGCAGCTTGTCATTCCAACTCCTGAGAGCGAAGAAATGAAAGCTGTTCCATCGTTGGTCCGGAATAACTTCAAGCAGCCTAAGCAGTACATCCATGTCCAAGGTGGGTTAATCATGTAGGAATTTCAAAAMAATTGTCYTTGTAAAACYGGACATTTATAGGKTATAGTTGTGAAATAGGGTAAATTATGCAGAAAAAACAGCAGGTTGACTTATCACAGGAAAGTAAACTCTGGAAAATTTGACATATTTATTAGGTTATTGTGTTTTTCTTACAAAASTGTGGTTTTATCTTTAGTTGCCAAATATCGAAGGCAGTACTAATCGAAGAAAAGWTCTAGACTTTTTCGTTCTCGCACGMTTTATGTCTCACTTGTACCATGGCAAGGCACAGGGCGACCAGTAATGCTAGTGACCAGACTTTTTTCTGATAAGATTTTTTGTACATTTGTGAAGCCCACAAAAAAAAAAACACACTATATTTTGAAAATTATAAGCATGTTTGGGAGTGATTTTTGATCAAAAAAATCAGTCAAGGGACCACAAAAAAACATCAGTTGTTGGCAAATCATCTTAAAAAATGGGAAAAAATCTTAAAACATGGGAAAAAAATCATGAATTATGCGGGATTATGTGTGATTTGATTAATTATGCAGAAGGTGCAATTATGTGCATCCGCATCTGTGCATAATTCCAACGTGCCTGTAATTAGGTTATATTTTGTTATATGTTCGTTTTTTGGGTTCACCATATGTATGAGAGGATATCTGATCAGATAATGAGCTTTACTTATAATGTCTCTTATTTTACAAAGATATCTGAAATTGGTTTTCTCTTGATAGCTTATGGTTTGAATGAAGACGTTCCAGAATATGAYATGGACAATGAGGATGAAAAATGGCTGGAAGGATTCAATAAGAAAAAGGTCAAAAAATCAAATTAATGCTAAAGCAACAGACATTTAGTATTGTACCCAAATTTCATTTGACATTAAAAATAGTAAGAGGGTCTGAAGCCGTTTTGGCTAACCTATTATGACATTAGCATTCCTTAGTAATTTTACTTAATTAATATAAAGTATTTTCTTTATAGGAGATTCTTACTGTGTTGCAATTTGAAGGAATTCTTGAGAAACTGGAAAAAGGRATGGGAGCTCAGGTAAGAAAAATACAAAATAATTTAGATACAAGTTGTTTGTCCTAAAAAGTGTTTCTTTTCTTTTCAGGCTTGCATGTCTTATGGGGATGCCAAGGCATTATTGCAAGAAAGTGAAGAWATTGTGAAACCTGTCTATGAATATTGGACAAGTAAACGTGAAAAGCTAGACGATTCTTCAATTTGCCTAATTCCACAAGTAAGAGGAGAGAAAAGAGATGGCACAACTACAAATGATCCATATGTTGCCTTCAGAAGAAGAACAGAAAAAATGCAAACTCGAAAGGTATTTGGAGYAATTATTGTGACATGTTRCATTTTAGGAGCAAATGCAAAATGATAGCCATCTTATTACACAATAAAAAGGTTATTCATGAACTCAAGGCATGCATTTATAATCCTTTTTTGCTTAGAATCGAAAGAATGACGAAGCAGGCTATGAAAARATGTTGAAACTAAGGAGGGATCTTAAAAGAGCTTGGTAAGTTTKTKYTTGCATTGTTGACGACTTTTAATRTTATTACWTGTACATTAATAATTCTTCTTTCTGTTGTTGCTAGTACTATCTTGGATATGGTGAAAAGAAGAGAACAAACTAAGAAAGAATTACTAGAATTGACTGTAAATGTGTTTGAAAAAAGGTAGGGTTTATTGGAGATATTGCACCTTGTGACGTTATCCAGGCATTCTTTTTTCAAAAATAAAAATTCAGTTTTTTGAGGAGGAAATTAAGCAGAAAGGAGTTCAAATGATGTGTAAAATAAACTATGTGGAATGATATGGCAGAAGCTATCTAAATCAAGACATTTAACCTTGAATGATATCTATTCATGTYATAAGTGGTACTCAGAACTCTCTCAGGCAGTTTCAAAGCCATGATAGCATTCCATTATGAAGAAATTGGGTAAATTTTGTGGGTCTGCACTTGTGTATAATTCCAGAATGCTTGATTGTTTTCTCCTAATGTACCCTCCCCCCCACTGCGTTTTCCTCAATCACGCCCCTTGCCTCCCCTACCCATTTAATTATACTCTACTGAGCTCAAGATATTATTCTCTGTGTGTGTAGATATACTGCTGGAGACTTCACTGGCCAGATACTTCAACAATGTCTAGATCTTATCCGTTACCAACCTCCTGCAACCAACCTTACAGTTCCATCAACCATGCATAGTGATAATCTAACACCTGGACCTAATATTGATGTACATAGAGATTATTTGATGAAACGAAAACATGTAAGTAGTAATTAGATTGATATTTTCAGCTTTATTTATTGATGTTTGTTGATAATTGTGATATTAATGTGCAATATTTTTATAGGATGAAAGAGCAAGCCTGAAAAATGATTATATYGAATCTGGGTATGTTAGATGTAAAAATGTGCACTGTTGATTTTGTTTATTGATAGTTTAATGCTGCATAAGGTAGTTTCTTATTGGTTACTTTCTATAAACATCCCTTCCTTTATAATAGTTGCATTTTGAGCATCTCGAAAGACAGTTGTCATTGCTGTATAAAATATTATTCATAATGAACATTTTTGACAAGTTCTTGCCAAATTCTTGTTTGTTACTCATTCAACCTCTAAAATTCGCATCATTGAGCATAGCCAATGTATTTGAGCATGCATGTAAATGGTGCATGAATTCAGWTATATGACAATGCAAAAATAACAAGGTCTTTTACAAAGACACTAGTAAGAGTATATYAACATCAAAAGATGTACAAGTTTAACTGATACAATTTTGTYGACTGATGTGATTATGTCTTCCAGTCATAGACGCCCTAAAGGTCTTATTCACGCTAAGATGAGTCATGGTCTGACGGCAGATGGYCAGGCAATATTTAGTGATAATGAAGAAGAAGTTGGACCTCTTTCTCCATCGCAAGTGAGCATTTTTTTCTACATTATTATTATTATTTTTGTTAGATKTTTTCTCCTTCAGTGCAGTGATTTCATTATATTATTAAATTATTTCATTATTAGAAGCTAGTAACAAGTGATATACAGTGTCTAAATTGACCTTTGGGTCAGCTACTTTTGCCAAATGACAGTTGTAATACTAGTGACCCTTATGATTCACATATTTTAAAACAGACACCTACTTCCAAATTTAATGAAACCCCTTCATAGTAACATACCAGAGTGATCACACTTTTAATTTCCACACATGTACGTAAAGAAGMCTACATTTATATCATTGATGTTTTGTTTAGCTTGAGCTACCTTCAGAACCAGAGGAGGAAGAAGATGATCCTGATGGTAGATATGCATTTAAAAGAAAGAAGGGTGTTAAATACCTCCCAGTAAGTATCTATATCTCTCTCACTCATGTCTGTAATTCAGAGAACTGATATTTTTTGCTTGTTTCTCAGCCTCGATTYGACTCACCGGCACCGTATCCATGGGTAGATTCTTTGGAGGGAGGTCTGGGTGACAAACGTTATCGATATTCTTGTACTTCTGTTTCATCTCCTCAGAGACTTATAGGTTTTGCCCGACGGAGAAGAGGCCGGGGAGGAAGGTAATTTTTAAATTTTTTATTTTAGCTCATATCTTGGTGGTTAGTTACAAGTTGTATGCTTAAGATCAATGTTGTGTTATTTTGGGGATCAATGTTGTGTTATTTTGGGGATCAATGTTGTGTATTAAGCTCAAGAATCACTGGAGCAGTGTCAGCCTTGGAATTGATCACTCTTTCAGGATAGTCATACATGTACATGTATTTCTTTGATGGTAGTGATATAAGTATCAAGATGATGGTGTCTTAGGATATTAAAAGACCATTTGCTCACTTGATACATGTATGTATTTAAATGTTTATAAGACACTAATGGCAAGTGATATCTTTTTTTTTTCAGAATATATTTTGATCGAGCATGGACACCAATGGCAGAAAATGTTGAAGACCTAGAATCATTATTAAATTCTTCATTATCATCATCATCKTCACTTAATCTGCCAAATGGACTGTTTCCATATGATCATTTAACAGGAATGAAAAAGCTTACCATGTAAGTTGAACAGTGTCATACTGMACCATCTATATTAATTATTTAGTATGCAGTGTTGTAGTTTGTTTATGTAAACAATCAGRTAATCTTGCACTTTTTAAAATAGTGCAAGATCATTGACATTGCTCTAGCAAACTAGCAAATTTAGGGCAATTAGTGTTACWTTTTTTTTCAAAACTGTTAGGTTTATTGTAAGCATAAAGTGGTTGATCAATGYTGTCAACCAGCATACATTTACTGTAAAATTYGGAGCGCAATTTCTCGTGAACTATTCAACAAATTGCCTTACAGTGTATGCATGGATTCTTATTATTTTKAAGTTATTGAAGTCAATTTATTCTGAAGTATGAAAATCATTTAAAATGTAAACATACTGCTCCGATGTTGTTTTGATGTTTAYTGTAATGTGGTTATGTTTTATCTTCAACAGACCTCACTATCGACCTCGATCTTCTACTAAGAACACAGCTACTCAACAACTTTCTTCTCAACCTGAAATTCCACCAAATGATTCAAATMCTAGTGTTTCCACTAGTTCGACTGGTCAACCCAGACCACGTATCCACCGGAGTTTTTCAACACAACCGCGATCGAAATTCTCTTTAAATACTTCGCMATCAAATGGACTTGTAGGCACAAACTTTACACATACGAATCCAACGGTGCATTGTGGGAATGGCCGAAGCTCTTTACCCAATGGRCCTGTTGCTACACAAAGTGGACAAAATTCCACATGGACTAGTAGCTCTATGAATGCTACACCAACTAAAAATGTGTATTCTACGGCGCCTATTAAAGCTGTTTACGCGCTTAACTTTCCACTTAACTCCAGTACGTCCAATCAGTTGATATCCAATTCTCTTGTTCGTGGGAATGCACCATTTTCACCGACATCAACCAATCCACCGTCATTACTTAGTWCAACGAAAACYTCATCKAGCTTTGCAAATCTTTCGACTACTAGGTAAGTGGAGACGGTTTTTGAAAATATAGTTTGTGGTGATGTTTGTGGTGTTGACTTTGTTAATGTCATCGTCACTATCATTATCATCATATTTKGGAATCATAATGATTGGTGTACAGAATGGATGATGGACTAATTGATCTTGAATGAATAATTTAGTGGCTGATTGACAGAATATAGGCAGATGTATCAATGAGCAATTGRTTGATTGAAAGATCGATAACAGATTGACAGCAGACTGGTTGATTGATTRTCAGCTTGAAAGCAGCTTGATGATTGGTTGTTTTATTGATTGAGTGATTGATGTGTAATTTCGTGGAATGAATAGTGGTTGATCGATCAGTGACTAAATTGATTGACTTATGTTTGCTCATCATTATCATCGTTCTGTTCTGACACTTCTCTTCTTTGATCCACAGTGACTTTGAAAGCATATCAAATCTTGCAAGACCAGAACCTTTTAAAAGACAAACTAGTATCGACGTTGTCAATGCGACGTGATGACGTCATAGAATAGACGATTTTTAAAGTACATTTATTAATTAGCCAGCGCGGGTACTATCACTACACATGCGTGGGTATTCGCTGTATAGAATGATCTATTTATAAACAATTCATCAAATCGGCGCATAGATTCATTGATTTTCCGTAGTACTCAAATACAAAAGTGTTTCGATGTAATACTAGCAAGCAACTCCAGGTACTCTCATTAGTTTTTTTTCAGGAATTTTAGCGTTTTTGTAAGTTTGTTTATACATTTTGGTAACACCTTGCTGACTTAAGTTTGACATGTAATTTTATTCTAACAGTAACATGCATTGAGTATAATTTCGTAAAAYGCCTGAGAAATGTTTATTTTATGTTGTATCCATTAGCAGCTGTTGCTTATTAACACTCGACTATTGCAGTTCTTTTTAAACATTTCTCGTAGTAAAAATTTCTTTTTGTACATAATTTTCATAAAAATCWTTGCCATTTTTCGTAAAATATGAGTCTTTGTTTTGCCATCGTTCTGGTAGGACACCTGACTTTCATCAATGTTACATAATATTGTTTTTTTGTTTTTGCTTTATGCTTGCTGTTCGAAATAGCACTCAAAAAGTACAGATTTTTCATACAAAGCAATTCTAATGACGGAACAGGCTTCGGACAGTAGCATGGAAACATTGCAATTCTGACTTATTTATTACGAATTCAAGAGAAAATGGACAAAACTATTATTTCAACAATTGGGCGCGCCCAGTCGACTACAATATAAATGATGAAAGGGTATTTCATCTATTAGGTATGCATAGAAGTTTTCTATCGGTCCATTCACGAATTGATGTGAATGTCAGTCGGACAATATTGTATATTGTAGTCCGGTAACATTTGTGCTTAATAAACCACTTCGTACAATAATAAACATTTGTTGTCTTGTAGTCTTCTTACTCTGCAGTGAACCGCATACAAATCATTTACACTTATTTCAAGAAAGGTTGTCGAATAAAATGGCGAACGGCTATTAYTGAAGGAGGATTGCACGACCAAAAGGAGCCATGGGTTTTGTTAATTAACCGAAGGGAAATGATAGCTGATATATACTGTAAGATAGTCTGTCGTGAACATTGGCTAGATTCAGTCTTTATTTCTATTTAAGGTGAATCCTATAAGTGGAATTTTGTTCGTCAAAACAGCGTTACCATAGCCCCTTTTGGTCGTGAAATCTCCATTCTCCGTTAATCGTTCAACGTTTATTGAAACAGGTGTATATAAACTTATCARGACAATAGAACACCATGTACAGGGAGGGGTATCTAATTTATTAGCCTGTATCGGTATAACCCGTTTATTTATGCATAGTGAACTGTTGATTTACATTAGATTTGGGAACTGATGATATGATAGCCTAAAGATACCTTCTGGGGTCTTAGCTTTGGCGGAAATGAAACAAACATGCAAAAGAGTGAAGACATTAAACCTGTGAAAGAAAATATTACTACTAGAGTGTGTTAGTGTAATATCTATTTCACGGCTTTTTTGACTTACAGACAAACTCGAAGTGAAGTCAATAACCCATGAGAACGTAATAAGGTGTATTGGAAACTGGGATTGACACAGGCCCATAATGCACCACTGGGTGCGAAGTAGATCGGTAGAGATGTGTATTAGTGAAACACCTATTTCACGGGTTTTTTGACTTCACTCTAAAATTAAAYAATTAAGTGATTAGCATAATGTAGTTTCACGGATCAAGTATGTCGACTCTATCCGTGAAATTGTTTCTCTAAATTCTCTAAAAATTCATATTGGTGCAATTTGTAGCAATTTTTTTAGTTGACAAATCGTGCACAAAGATAATACCCGATTATATCTTTCCATTTCAGTAGAGGAACCAAACACACACCACACACAAACGTCTGCTGCAGGTGCCTCTCGCGCCGGTTGAAGGCTTTTAGAGCGGATTTCGTATGAGTGGGACACCGCTACCGCACGGTTACCGCACAGTTACCGTACCTGGCCTGCAGAATTTTGGTGAAACAATGGGGCACAAGAATTTGGTTACAGTACGGTTACGGACACAGTACAGTACCGTCCGTTTCCCACTCATACGAAATCCGCTCTATCAGTTTGACGTCTCATTCCCTTATGCCACCCTTGATAAAAATCCTGAATTTTAGTTCGTAACCGATTTAGCAGTCCAGTTTTTTTTCGCTGACACAACACGCGTGATAAATCAAATCGTTCTTTTCTTATAATTTTTTGTGTTTTTGCTTTTTTCTGTCTTCATTTGTTTTTTGTTTTTTCACTTTCATACTCACAGTAAGTGTCCATAAGAGTCAAATTTGAACATTTATGGGATACCTTTGTCACAACTAACCGTGAGGGAGTAGGAAGAAGATACAATTTCAAGATCAAAATGGCGGATGATCAGGTGAGTTTCATTATATTTTAACATGTTTTATGATATTACACACACTAATTTCAATAGCATGATGCAGCACTCGTATGCCTTTGGTATGCTTGTCAAAATAAAGCATTTCGGAACATAAATGCTCGATTCCAGGGTTTCGAAACCTGCGAGCTTTTCGCAGCTTGCTTGAATATTTGCATCTGACAAGTCAGTTCACTATAAAAACTTTTTTTATTCTATAAAATAAAATAAGCAATTAGATCTTTAACGTTTTTGCTTGCAAGAAATTCAAAACTTTTTACTCCGTTTGTTTGACAAAATTTAAGWTCTACAGCCAGACAGCATTGTCTATAGGCTTAACTAAAGCTTACTTTGATTCAGATAAGCATCAAGTTTAATTTTCAACTCTTTGAATAATAACTGAAATAACTCAGAACTTTATACAGTTCATACTTATAGTTTTGAGTAGAGATGTATTCATGATACTACTAGCTTAGAATAACTAGTTAGTTCTGTTATGATATTTTTGAAATTTCTATATTTCAGAATAAAGAAAGTCATGTAGAAGAGGAAGAGGAGGAATCTGACGAGGATGAAGAAGAGGAAGAACCAAAACTAAAATATGAACGAATGGGAAATGCAGTTAATGAGATTCTAAAAGGAGAAGAATGTGCCAGTTGCATGGCTGTTCATGCCAAGGTATCAGTTTTTGAAATTTTTCATACACTGAATGGAAAAATGGGTTCCTTCTGTGTGTACTGGAGCGATAAGAGAAGCACAGACGACCTTATTCAATAGGAACAAAAGATCAAAACAATGGAACTGAACAATACCCCAAAATACAATGAAACCCAGAGAGGGAAACCTAGCCACAATACAATAAAATTGTGGTGCACACTAGTCTAGACCATTTTTTTCTCAAACTGTTGGGCAATGCAAGAGCATCCTGTATGTGAAAATTTGTCTCTTACTATGAGGAAATGTAATAATCATGCTTATAAGAGAACATCTTTCCATTTGCTTTACTTTTCAGTTCCTGGCATTAGGGACGCACTATGGTGTTGTTCATGTAATGGATCATCTCGGTAATAATATAAGAAGTAAAGAATTTCCATCGGTAAGTTTACTCTATAATTAGTGACCATACTTTACYGATTTTAGTTCAACAGATGGCATTTCTAACATTAGGTTTAGCAAAACCCCAAATTACACCTGTCTTGTTCTACATTATATCTGTATGATGCAGGATATATATCTTTTTATTTCTTTCAGCATACGACTGCTGTAAACCAAATTAGTATAGATGAAAAAGGTGACTATGTTGCAAGCTGTTCTGATGATGGAAGGGTATGGACAATTAAAAATAAAGGGTTCATGAAGATAATTTTGGTGTTAAATAAAGCTCAGGTCATAATAAACTGAAAAAACTAAGAAAATTGAAATTCATTTACAGGACATGCAATGTAAATACATGTACATGTAATTATAACTGTGTCAATTAAGAAAAATTCTCAGTGATCAATTATAAGGCAACCAGAAAGTCCAGGAGATCGATCCCTTAAGGAGAACTACAACTACAATGTGCAGAAATATGACCAGCTACATCTCAAAACAATACTAAAATTTAGTGCATGCCAGTGCTGGTTTTGTTTTAGTTGGCAGCCATACCAGAGAGGTCAAAAACAACATCAGTGATGATGATATAGTGTTGTGGTATATCAGTCAAAATGATCATACTTTCAGCATAGATTGCTCTCTGTACAGTACATTTACACTAATTCCTGTTCTTACGATTGTAGGTTGTAATAAATGGGTTATACAGCTCAGAGAACAATGTTCAAAATAATTTTGACACTCCAATAAAGGTAAAATATTATTCTGTGTCRTTGCAACAGATTCTTTGTCAGTAATTTCTTACTTTATTGTCAATGTTATTATTGTAGGCTGTTGCTTTAGATCCTGAATTTTCCTCTAAACAAACAAAGATGTATGTTACTGGTGGGGAAAAGGTACAGGAAAATAAAGTTTATCTAAGTTAAAGGACTGGTTTGTTGACAAAATGTACTTATCATAGTTACATGTTACGTATTTATGTCATGGTACATAGGGGCTGTTACTTAATAAAAGAATATTTAAATGCATAGTTTASAGGTTAACACAGAAGAAAATATATTGCTAAAATTAAAAAGGATTTATTTTAGTGTTCAGTTAGCAATGGACTGCCATATTATTAATACCTACAACTGCATTATCATAGTTTTATTTTTTTACATGGCTCAAATTTTCACCATTGTTTTTTTACAGCTTGTTCTCACTGAAAGAGGTTGGTTTAGAAATAAAACCACTGTTCTTCATGCTGGAGAAGGTGCCATAAGAACCATCAAGTGGAAGTCTCATTTTATTGCCTGGTCCAATGATGTGGTATGATTTCTGAAATTATTTTTTGATTTATTTAATTTCTTCATATTGTTTTACTTCTGAATGAGATGGTCCCAGCTATTGGGACTGGGACTTGACCACTTTTTTCACTTTTTTTTCAATTTGGCTGTCAAAAGTATAATTCATGTAATTCATTGATTGATTGATCAACTGCTCATTTTTCCAGGGAGTAAGAGTATTCGATATGAGCTCAAAAAGAGTGATAACTTACATCAAAAGAGATAATGGAAGGTAATTATTTTTATTTTTGAAGCTTAACAGTATAAGCCAGTCAAAAGTAACAAGCTGTCTTTTTTCTCTGTTTCAGCCCAAGACCACAGTTATATAGGTGTAACCTCCATTGGAAGGACCCAGTGACTCTATTGATTGGCTGGGCTGATAACATCAAGGTTYACATTATGCATGTCGTTTTTAATTGCTTGTATAGTGAGAAAAGTTTGTGATAAGAAATGGCATTTAAATTAGCTAAAGAATAGATTACACTACAGCAAATGCATGTGGATAAGTGTACTTAAGTATTATTCTGTTATTTATCCATTCAGGTTTGTGTTGTGAAAACTCGCGAGCAAGAAGTTAGAGACTTACCACCTCGCTATGTTGAAATTGGTTAGCAAACTTCGTTCTTTTGAGATTCATTTTTGACTTGTCTGTTCATTCATCCAGTTATCTTCTCATCTATCCATTTCACAATCCAACTAATATATTAGTCTTGTTTTTTTTCTTGTTCATTTTGTTTTTAATTTTCAGTTGCCATGTTTAGTACTGAGTACTACATCAGTGGAATTGCAACCCTTGGCAATGATTTGGTGAGTAAATTGATATTAAATAATGGCAAAATACTCTGACAACTGAATGGCTGGAATACTTGTCTGCTTTCATTGTCTGTAGGTCATTCTTTCCTATCTAACAAATATTGAAGAAGGCAATGTGAAGGTAGGTACTCACTCAAATTGTAAAATATTTTATTATTATTTTTTTATACAATTCAGCGGCAGATTTAGGGGTGGGCCGAAGGGGCTGCGTCCCCCCCCCCCCTTTTTCTTGAAAAAAAAGTTAACAAGATCCTTGTTAATATCACTGAAAATGCTGGAAATCGCATTTTTGACGGTTTAAATTTCAAAATCTTTCGGGGGAGCATGCCCCCAGACCCCCTATATATTCCCGCCTTCGGCGGTCGATGCAACGCAAAACCATTTTTAAGTAACCGGCCTCCTCTTTCTAAATATTCTGGATCTGTCCCTGCAATTAATGTTTGAAATATATCTAATTCAAGAAATGTAGTCGGGTACCAAAAGGTTGCATCATCAAAGACTGAAAGGAAGCAAGGGAAAGGAAATATTATTTAGTATACTAGTAGAGTGTCTCAATGCCAAAAAGATTGCTTGCAYTGAATAAAAATCATGTTCTCTATGATTGATGCTCTTGGCAATATGCTTAGGCATGTTTCAAATTTCTGAGTACAAATTCCCATTGGTATGAGCTTCAATGATATCACCTTTTTTGTGACCCAACAACATTAATTGAATTAGGTGTAAATTAAGTTAACTAAAGGAAGAAACAAATTAAAGAAACAGAACATGAAAATAAGACACCATTTTTTATGACAAACTTGCATCACTATGATATTGGAATGCCATAATAATTCATGGTGTAAAACTAAGCATTCTTTATGGATTTTGTGTGCAGCGTGCAGAAAATGTTGCAGCCAAGCGACCACAGTTACGCATTGTGTCTGTTACTGGTTTTCATGACAACGAAGAGATGTCTGCAGATGCCTTATCTATCAGAGGATATGGTCATTATCGCTGTGATGATTATCATCTTGGTAGGTCATTTTAAACCATATTATGAACACAGAGAACAAGTTTAGCTGTTTGTTGGTCTCTAGCCTCCTCAGCAAGCAACCCATAATTTGCATTTTTGGGATTCCTGTGGAATCCTATTTGCCAACTTGTAATCCCATTTATAATCTCTTACAATCATATCAAAACTTACACAAAGAGAGAGTAGTCTCAAGGAGACTACTAAAATAGGAGACCTTTGTAGTTAGTATCCWCTGCAGTCTACCGGCCTTAGTGTTGGGCTTCCTGTGCCCTTGTCAGTGCATGTGGTGACAAGAACSTACATCACATCAAACATAACCAATCTTCAAATCTTCTCTGCACTAAAACTTTCCGTTATTTCTATATTATGTTACTTCAAATAATATAARACATCACTTTTACAGTTGATGCAGTTGAACATTCAAGAACACAAAGTTTTGAGTGTTAAAGTGCTACTTGCATGAAAATGGCCTCATTTCAAAACTTCAAGCATTACAAATATATGACTCACATAATATATATCTATTAAAAACAATTGTGGGAAAATATTTGTTTTGGAATTCATCAGAGAAATTTTGATTCAAAAGRTGGAAGAACAAAAGGATGGAGTAAATGATGTCATCTACTCCAACATTTTTTGCCCAAATTATTAAGGATTTGTATCAATATCTTCTTAAAATCTGTTGCTTCATGGTTATTAGATCCATATGGATAGTTCTATTTGATTTCCAAGTCTTTTCTAATATTTTGCAATTTTCGTCCAAGTAGCTCTTTAATAAGAATATTTGTATTAAAGTTTCCTTTCTCAAATAGAATTTTATCTTCTGTTTCTCTGTTTCCAGCAACTTTAACTATTTTTAAGAATTTCAACTCTTCAGCAATTTCTAGGCGGCTTATTTCCTATTATTTATTTCAAAAGAAGCTTTTCCTGTTTTCTCGGTTGAAAAGAAAAAAAGAAAAAGTCCCCACCTACTGCTTGTGTTCCTAAGCTTTTGTTGAAATATGGTTGAAATGGCAATTGTGATTCAAATTATTGGTAAAAATGCTACTGACCCTTTGAGACTGATTGGCTTTCGCTTTCATTGTTTACATATTTGACGTAAACTATTATTCCATATAGTTACTATGGTTTTATTCAATCTTCTGAAGCATAACAAAGGAAAACGAAATATCGAATGGTTCTTTATATTTAGTGGGAAATTTAGATAATCACATTTATCAAGTGTTTCTCCCTTTTTTCCTTGTCTTTGACTATTCTCTTTTTTATACCAAATAAATACCCCAAACCATTTTGYTAGTACCCACATAATTTTCATAGCTGTTTTCCTGTTCAAAGAATTCAAACTGGATGGCAATTACAAGGAAGTCGTTACAATGTGCTGCAGTAGTGTTGTTTTTCATATTTTCTTGAGGATAGAGAACACAAAAATAATGCAATTTCCCATTTTTCACCTTAATGACAAAATACCTTACATAGGAAAATTCAGACTCATTAAAGCATGGATTTCACAAGCGCATAAGCATAGCATAATCACAAGCATGAGAATCATATGTGCCAGTGAGAACAGGCTCGACATAAGCATAAGACATTGAGCATGCGCACGAGCGTATTATTTCGGTACTAGGCTATGCTTATGCCTATGCAGTCCCGTTCTCACTGAGCATAAGCATGAGATAAGCACAAGAAGATCAAGCCTTGTTGGTTTTTCTTGTGCTCATGCTTATGCTTATTTTGAGCCTGTTCTCACTGGCGCATATGACTCTCGTGCTTTGTGCTTATGCCTATACTTATGCGCTAGTGAAATCCACGCTTAACCTGTCCATATATTACACATCCATGCATGGTGGGAATATTTAACTACAGAAAAATCACCATAATAASTTTTCAGTAATGCACGTCTTTCTAACTTTGACTTCGGGACATTCATTAACCCATTGCAGTAMGAAACACGTGTCACGTTTGCTACAAGTTTTGGACACGTCCAAATATCAATATTTACTCCCTCTGCGGTCCTTTTCGTGGTACTTAGAAGTCCAAGCTTATCCATGTCWATCGGGAGATAYAGRTGATCAGCTTTTATATATTCAGGCTTTGGGTGRAAAAAGTCTGGGTTTGAAGCGAGAGATTTTTTTAAGACGGTGAATTGTTCAGTAGTCATGCAAACATCGATGTCGTGTTCCCAATAAAGTGGCTGGTCGAGACCTCTTTGAACAGCTAGAAGATCCCCCATAGTTAACCACCACTCGGTGATCCCATTGGACTGCGCAAATTTGGCAAACTTTAGAAGTTTTKTACACATTGCTTTTGTGATGCTTGGATGTTGTGCACACCAGAGACCATTRGCTGATAAATAATACACAACCATACATAACGAAAGGAGGACGGCAATAACATGGGTTTTCCAGCGAAGAAACATGTTCCTTGYCGWGAACCCAAGACCACGTTGGGTTTTGATGAGCACAACAAACGAAGGAAACACTAGAAGAAATGATATGTTGAAGCTGTGGATTCCCATGCCGTAATACCCGTGTAAGCCACGATGAATCAATACTGCAGTACAACCTCCAGAGMACAGCATGATCAACGTGTAAATTAAGTGMGATTTCATGCCCATCCCGTGAGTAAAGTACAGTGTAACAAGAGGGTAGCACAAAATCACGCAATCAACGTAAACACAGTGTAAACAGGGGAAAAAGGCACTAAATGTCCTGGAATGCAAACGACGCTAATAAAGAGTGAGATACATCCTGGTTGACACGGAAACACTAACAAAACACTCCTGGGCTAGTGAATGATTTTCCGAGTAAACACGTTCCGGTTGTTCGTGTGTAATTTTAATGCCCTCGAATTTGTGCGCATGCGCAGGGCTTTTAAAAAACACAGGGATACCAACATCTTGTTCAATCCGCGTTTTTTTTAGATATTTTTTTTGTCTTTTGTTTTTAAGGTCTTTTGTTTACGGATATTGGATATTGTAAAAAAAAAAGTTGCTGAGCAGATTTCAGAAAGCTGTAAAATATGCTATTGCTACTTAAGGGGACAGTGTCAATGGATGATGATATGCGCGAGTAAACTTAAGTTGGCGCGACATAACTCAGATCGTAAACGTAAACAGATCTAGAATATTGCAAAGTGTGTCAAAAGCACCACAAAATGATTTACCTCGAAGGTTATACTTTCAAAGTCCGTTAGAAGTGAGACTGTTACTGCGCATGTCATCCATTGACAGTGTCCCTTAAACACTATATCCTATAAGGGTGTTATGTATCAAAATTTTAGATTAGTTTAGTTTTTTAAATTGAAACAAAATTATTTAAATCATTACAAATTGTTTTACAGGATTTATAATTAAAAACATTAAAGTTAAACAAAGATACGAATAACTAATCATGATATATTATAATGATATTGTTGTTGTATTTTCCCAACAGAAAATGTAGCAGAGGACAACTTGTTCTATATTGTTAGTCCTAAGGACATTGTTCTAGCTAAGGTATGGAGTTATAAGCTTTAGGCCACACCTTATCTGCAACAACTGCATTCAACTGCACTTGTCTTTTTTTAWTAAAAATATAWATACTGTGCWAAAGAAGTGCAGCAGAATAAACAAAATTAGCATAAAGTTAGAGGCCTTGTGCATGGACGGTCACATGGTACTAAATCCTATATTATAGATGGCAAAAGTATGTMAACAACCTCAAAAACAAAAGGAATGCAGCCCATCAAGCTTGACKTTTTTATGTTTTGAACATCCCAATGGGTATTTTTCTATCYRGYATRTCCGATTTAGTACTATGTGACYRTTTCATGCAAGAGGCCTATATTGAATTTTTGTGGCTATATAAGATTTAGCACATCTGGAAGAACATGTTGATGCTAAAATGATTTATTATAATTTTATTGTCTTTCAGCCAAGAGATATGGATGATCACATCAGCTGGTTAATGCAGCATAGCAAATATGAGGTCAGCTTTCATAATATATAAAGATAAAAGTTTAATTAATTATGATCATTTTGGAATTATTTGATGAAATTTTTTGAAATTTTTGAGATAGAGAATAATTATTTTTCAGGAAGCTTTGTCAGCTGTTGAATTTCATAGAAAAGAAGTCAAGAAGCACAATTACCAGGTAAAGCACTATCTAGTTATTAGGTGCTGTGAATGGTACACTAGCTCTTGGATTCTCAGTTTTTGAATCCTCAGTTTTGCAGTGTCATTTTTTCGCCTATTAGTCTCAGTACCAGCGCTGTAACCAGAGGGAAATGTTAACCGAGGCACTTTATGCGACCAGCGGAAGCGGTCGTATCTAGGGGGTTCACGGGCATGCTTCCCCGAAACATTTTGAAACGCGATTTTCAGTGTTTTGCCAAGCATATTTTAATTTTTTTATCTTACCATTGATCAAACTTCTTTATTTTGGATACGAATTAAAGAGAACTCGATAAAAGTTTACTGAGGGAAGTGCCTCGCTTGCCTGATCATAGCTACGGTGCTGAATATAGTACTGTTGTCTAAATCTCAGATATGAAAACCTCACTATCACAAAATATATTGGAATGGACTTTTGCCACCCCTTTTATTATATCAGAATGAATGGTCACCACCAGGGGTAGTCAGAGGGGGGCCGGATGGACCAACACAAAATTATTTATATTTGTACCCCCACTTATCTTATGAAAGTTTGCTTTTTCCTTCAACTGTTCCATTCCCCATTAAAGGAAATTGGGCGTGCCTACCTGAAGTCATTAATGGACAGTGAAAACTATGAGCAAGCAGCAAGGTATTGACTTCTTAGACCAATACACCTTTTCAGTTGCTCTTAGGCCTCGACAGTGTGTTAAATATTCTTTTGAATTTGTAAGAATATGTGAGCAATGCAAACATTGATATGAATTAGTCTCATTTGTCAAATTCAAAAGAATTATTAATTTGCTATCGAGGCCTAAATGCAACTGAAAAGGTGTATTGACTATGATTTTTTAGCATCCTTCATTATAGCTTTCTGATTTTGATTATTGGACTAATAGTATCTTTCTATACTAAAGAAGACTTATGGCCACAGCCCACTGCGCCCTTGAACTATTGCACACAAGCAAAAGGGTCCATAAGAACTTACATATGCATGTGTTTTAATTTCTGTTTCTATTGAATGATATCTTGTATGCAGATGCAAGTGTTCTCCTGGATCTTTCTCTCCTATATCCAATTTAGTCAACAGAGCATACTAAAAAGGGCCTGGGACTGGACTACTATTGCCTATAATGCAGTGCATCCTATCGTTTTTTCCCTCTTATTAGGGGATGKCATAGAATTCATAATCTTATTGGTCAGTTGTTTTCAGGGTTCGTGCTACTACTTGAAGTGCTGGAAAAGTCCTGGAATTGAAAACTCGTTTTCAAGGGCGCTTGAAGCCCTTGAAAATGGGGAACATGGCTGAAATTCCTCAAAAATCTTCTTGAATCTGATAAAAATTGACATTAACTTGCTTGTTAGCTTTTGGATTGAAATGTCTGGAAACATAAAAAAATATCACTTGAAAATTGCTTTTTTTTGCTTAAAAAGTACTTGGAAAGTCCTGGAATTTTGTAGTGAAAATGTAGCACAAACCCTTTCTTTTATATTCTATATAATCTAGAAACTGGTATCTGCTTTATGCATTTTTTGAATAACATCAAATTAGCTATACAACCAGAATATGATAATTACTTGATTCATTTAGAATATGTGTCAAAGTTCTCGGTGATGATAAAAAACTCTGGGAAGATGAAGTTTACAAGTATGCAAGAAAGAACCAGCTGAAGGTATCAAAAAATGATTATAATAGTTTTAGGTAATGTTATTTGAATTATGATCAGGAGACCACAGCTCATAAAGGTTGGACACAAATATTTTAATGTTGTTTATCAAATTACAACATACTGTATATTTAGCTTAAATATATTTTGCAACTCAAATTAAAATATCACTTTTAAGAGAAAATCAAAGTTAAAGTCATACTTATGCAAATCAGGACAAATCTCTTGCTCATAATTATAAAGATGTKGTCACGGCAATGATTYCATTGTGAACTTATGAATTATCAATGAATTTGATAACTTTTAGATTATAGCAATCTGGGCGAATCTGTGCTCTGTTGTCAAGTACAAGAAAATCATCACATTTCCGATCTTTGTTGATAGTTTGTTTATAATTATTTTTCTGCAATTTAGTATCAATATTTAAGGTTAATTTTCAATATGATTGGATTTTTTTCTTTGAGGGTAACATTTAGTTGTGCTGCAATTGCTGATCTATTTTTTCAAAGACCCATATATAAAAGATTGTTATTATATGACTGGATAGCAAGCTAAGAAATGCTAACTTGACTGTTTACAGGCCATAGCTCCCTTCATACCTAGAGGCAAAGTCAAACTCAGCTCAGCCATTTATGAGATGGTTCTTTATGACTTCCTAAAAACTGATTACCAGGTAAAMTCCACATTATAGMCAGAATCGAAACATTGRCCATAAGGAATAGGCTCAGAGGWCAAGTTCTTACAGTGATTAGACAGTTCTTTAATGAGGCAAAGTCAGGATAAAATAGCTGTCCATGGTATTTACTTTATCTGGCTCATTTTTGAGCCCACAGCTTCTTCTTCAGTGGCTTTTACTTMTTGTTATCATATTAAGTTTACCTTAATCCATGTCATATGACAGAAATTTCAGGATATGATCAAGGAATGGCCAGCTGAGCTGTACAGTATACAAGCAATTATAAGTGCAGTACAGGTAGGTTGCAACTGGGATGTGGCTATATGCATATTTCAAGAAAAGTTATCGGAAAAAATAACGACGATTGCGTGATCAAAATGAGCCTTGGGGTTTTGCAAATTGATGGGAAATAATAACTCATTTATACTGTAAGATATTGTAAGGCTATTGTAAACATTGTCTCCATTTAGTCTACATTTTCAATGAGTAAGGCTAACCCAGCAAGTGAAGTTTTAGTACCATGGCCATGCGATCGCCACTCGACAATAGCCGTTCACCGTTATCCCTGACAACGTTTTTTGTCATAAGTGTATATATTTTTTTCCCATTTATTTTATATTTTTTTTGTCATTTACAAATGCATCTTAATTGAATAATGTGGCTGCTTCTTCTTTTATAGGAACAGCTTGAGAAAGATCCCAAGAATCAAGTTTTACTTGAAACACTGGGAGAAATGTAAGAATTGATGTCATTTTTTATGTGAATGTCGTTTTATCTTCCATTGTCTTCCTCACAGTTCTCTGCGCCGCCTTGAAATATAAATTACCATGTCCCATCTTCCCTTCTTTCTCTCCCATCTTCATTGTTATGAATCCATCTATATTCCTTGTTGTCTGCCATTTTCTCTATCTTCAACAGGTACACAAAACAGAAGAGATATGATAAAAGCCTGGCCATATATTTACAGTATGTTGCAACTCAATATTAGTCGAGCGGATTTCGTACGTCTAGGCAAAACAGCAACAAAAAAACAACAACAACAAAAAAAACAAAAACAAAACAACAACAACAACAAACAAACAAAAAAACAGGGTAATTTCGTGCCGTAATCGTACCGTATTGTTGCATGTCCTTATTCAGCGCTGTACATTTACATTTATCTTGTTCTTGTATTACAGACTTGGTCATAAAAATGTCTTCAATCTCATTCATGTACACAACTTATTCAAGTCCATCAAAGACAAAATCGTCATGCTAATAGAATTTCATCCTTCGGTAAGCACTGCACCCTTTTTTAGTTTCTTTCCTTGAAGAAAAGCTGATTTAATTCCTGTATTTTTTTGTATGTTGTAGAAAGCAATTAAGATGTTTCTGGATAATACAGATAAAGTCCCGGTAATATATTCACAAAAATATCGTTTGTTTTAATAAAGATAGCCTATGTTACATCTGGATCACTTCAAACGTAACGGGCGTTAATCTAGATGTGGCTCCGTCTATGAGAGCAATAATTCGTTCGCCCTTCAAACAATGTTACAGCTGCTTATGTTGGATGCTTTTGTCCTGTGGACTGTCTGAAAAAATCATCTCTTTACAGGCAACATTACGTTTAGGGGTATACCGGGGCCGGGGTGGGGAGTTATGCATTTGTAATATAGGATTGCTAAAAATGCTGAATTGTACGTTTGACGACGTTTGGCTGAATTTCTAATGGCCGTTATTTTTATGATTTTTAAAGGTTGACGATGTTGTACGACAGCTTAGCAAGCGACCAGAACTTCAGCATATGGTAAACTGAAATGACTGTAGTTCCTTTGCTATCCATATATAGTTGCTTGCTAGACCTCAAAGCTTTTACGTCATGTATCTTATACGCAATGCATTGTAGGATATGTTGGGACAAAACATGGAGGATTTCTTTTGTTTTCTCTAGAAACTGATCCCACAATGCATTGGAAATCAAGTAGTGACGTAAAAGTTTCAGAAGTCTATTGTATGAAATAGGCTTTACGAGCAAGATTAATTCAATTATGATGACGTTCTCCGTCAGTTGCATTTTTTGTTGCCATTTAACTACTTGTATTTGCTCTTTCTTCGCCATTTCCTCTTCAATTCACCCATTTCATTCATCCATTTTTCTCATTTATGTTTTCATTAGTATTTAGATACGTTATTACAAAAAGATCCTGAAGCTGGGCAAGATTACCATGAGCTCCAGGTAACAACATTGTATTGTTTTTTCTTGTTATGTTATTATTATGCCTTTCATGTTAAGAAAGCATAAAGACGGAGTCTTCGGCTTTGCTCTTGAAAATGGCGTCGATGCTCATTGCTTGCTTATTGAGCGTATTCCACAAGAGTATCCTAAATTGATATTTGCAGGTCGCTTTGTATGCCGAGTACGAACGTGACCGTCTGCTCCCATTTCTACGCAATAGCAACTACTACCCACTACAGAAGGTAACGTCATTATATTCCTTGTTTATTAAGAGGTTTTGTATATTTATTCAGCTACTTTATTATGTCAACATATTTACAAATCCGGTTAGTGAGAATTTATTTCCCTTTTATGTTGTGCAATTGTCGTAGAAGCTTGTGAAACAACTTTGCGAGACAAGTTGCTGGGGTTCGTCAAGAAATTGTGTACGCATAACCTCAAAAAATTGCGAAGAAGGTTGTTGCAGGGGTTTTACACTGTGAAGTAGCTTTGCAAGTTGCTTCGATGCGTTGTGAAACAAAACAAATTTCGAGCTAACGCCTCTTACTAATCATCCACACCAAACTGTAGAATCTCCATCGAAGGGCAAAACCATAGGTTGTAAAACCGCCGAGAATATAGAAAAGGGATTGTTAAAGTCTGCTAACACATAATACTTTGTGTTAAACTTAATTCAGAACGCCGTTATCAAGAGATTAACATCTGACGTTCGTTTTTACTCAAATTGCACATAAAGGCTGCATATGTTTTGCAAGATGCCAACACAGCTGCGTGTTTTGATGATGAGAGGGGGCAATATTTATGTTGACATTGCATTTGATTGTCTAGGCATTAGCGGAATGTGAACAACGGCATCTTATTCCAGAGATGGTCTTCCTTCATAGTGAGTAATCATATACTATTCCTGTGATGATTTGCAAGTTTTATAGACATGGACTA